TTGCAAACAGAAGCATCTTCGCAGGTGCCGCGCACGCCCTCGTCGTCCGTGCCGCGGCTGGCTGAGGAAGGCGAGGCGAAAGGGGACGACTCCCTCTGGCTAGCGGCCATGGGAGTGGAGGTTCCGGGGTGCTGTGCCCACCAGGGACAGGGAAACCCGGTCGACAGGCAGAGGCGGGGGGGGGGGGGAGCAAGCCACAGAGCAGCGGGGCGAAGGGGCTGGGCACCACCGGCTCCGCGACACCGCCCCCGCGGGCGCCTCAGCAACCTTCCGGCTGATTGGCGCTTATGCTGGGAAGTTCATTGGGCATTTCTCAGCCCCCTCCGACTACGGAGCTGTTCACTGGGACGCTGTTTTGGCTCCGCCTATACGACCCGGAAGTTTGCAGGGGGCAAGGAAACTGAAAATGACCTAAGAGTAACACAATGCTTTATGGGAAATGTAGTCTTAGAGGCTTTAAGCGCCCATCTGGTTTCTTACCACTGGCCATGAACTTTTGTAAACATTATGCAATTATAATATTATTATAATTATAATTAATTAAATCAAGCAGAAGAGCAAACGGCAGGCTCTTTAGCACTGGGGGGAAGGTGTAAGTTGTTACATTTCAGTCGGGGCTCAGTGTTAATCAATTTAACAAATTTTTAAGGAGAGCTGACACTTGTTAGGTTCTGTTCTAAGGGCTTTGTACATAATCTCCTTTGAAGTGTTGTGAAGGATGTAGTACGTAGAAAACCAATGCAATGGAAAATATGTAACAAAGAAAAAGAATTGGAGGTACGGAGTGCAGGTATCAGTGGCTGAATTTCAGAAATAACGAATTTCAGTGACAGAAAGACATTTACCTATTTATAAAGTTCAAACCAAGCAAAATTAATGTTGTTTAGAGAAACATATGTATTTGGTGAAATATTATACAGAAAAGCAAAGGAATGAGGAGGGAGAAACGGGAATCGAGATGCTAGTGGGGACCCTTAGGGGCGTACAGCTCAGCAGACAAAGGGACTAGAAAAGGAATTCATAGACACTTCTTCCATTTCTCAAATGGGAGTACGTTCGGCATGTGTTTGTTTCATTATTATTCACAGTAATATATTCAAAATGCTCACTATAGATATTTTATACTGGATTTATTGAAAGTTTGTTAAATTAAAAATGGGTTTGTATATTTTGTTTTACCTGTCTTGTGTTGGGAGTAGGGAAGGGATATACTCAAACTTCAAGGACTTTGAATGGTAGCTATTTTTTTTTGGTTGGTACTGGGGATCGAACAGCAACTTGTACTTTTATACTGTTCACCATTTTGTTTACATAGGGATTATGCAGTCACATACTTTATAACCTTTGAATGGTAACACGAATTAATGTTTTACTCCTTGTGAAAACCAAAAGCAATGCAAACACAGCCAGAGGTACCCTCTGAGCACAGATTCTTATCCCATCCACGCTCACCCTCACAAGAGGCCATCACAGCCCTTAGAAGCATTTTTTAAATGAAAGCATTAAGAATACTTTATGAAACCGAAAGAGATGAAAACTGAAAACAAAGGTGAGTTTTTTCAAAAGGCCACTTTGTGATAAAGCACACACACACAGTGGACTGATTTATTTAAACATCTCTAACTTGAAAATCTTCTGTCTCAACTCTAGCAGTGCCAGGTGACATCAGCAAATGTGTATATGGAGGAAGGCAAACTATCTGAAACATCAGTGGCACAGGATGGCCAGCCCCACTAGGTTCAAGTCCAGCTAGGTTAACAAAAGACACGGTGTGGAATGGAGACTCAGGTTTCCTGTTGGGTATGGATCCTGGGGACTTTTGCAAACTTTGCGGTACCTTTTTAGATAGTTTCTTCTCTCCTGGAGAATCCAGAGGTTTCTTATCACAAGGAGAAAGGCTTTTTGGTGGAGTAGATGAATGAGATTCTATTTCTAGAAACTGAACAAAATGTCTGAAAAAGAACTCTTACACAGAGATTGCTGGCTGGGCTTCAGAAGTGTGTGGGTCCTCCTCTATGCCACCTGCTCCTCCACCTGGTAGCATCACCTTGGTCTTCATGAAACAACCGCTCTGTTTCCTCCTTATGAAACCCACTGTATCCCCCAATAATCACGAGGCTTCCTGTTGCTCTCACATTGTGAGGTTTGAAGGTATCCAAGGAAAAGGGTTTTCATTAAGGCTTTGTCCGCTTTTCCTTCTGCACTATGTGCAAAGTTCATTAGTTTTTTTTTAAATGAACTGTGAATGTGATTATTATTTATTCATATTAGCATTTTTGTGTGTATGACAGGGTCTCACTATGTATTTCTGGCTGGTCTTGAACTCACTACATCCCCCAAACTGGCCTTGAACTTGCAGTGATCATCCTGCCTCAGCTTCCTGAGTGCTGGGATTACAGGCATGTGTCACCACGCCTGGCTCATGATAAGATTTGAAATCATCCATTGTCTGTTTCTTCTCTTGTAAATACCAAAGTAGGTGGATCTTACTGTGGTTTTTTTTTTTTCTGTGCTTTTGATCTTCAATGATCTTTCTGCTGCTTGACTTCCACCCTGAGATTACCTTTGATTATATTCAGCTGAGACCTCAGCTTCTAGCACTATGATAGTATCTTGCCTTTTAAGGTCAGCCACAGATGCTACTCCAGTCTGTTTCTCCCTCAGTCATTCCAGTTCTTATAGGATACAAGACTTCTTCCTTTCTTGTCTATGCTTTGCTGTAAAGTTTCATTTTCTTAAGGCTTGAGTATATTTATCAAATTGCTCTAGAAGCTCTGAACTTTGCCTAAGGTTTTTAATTCTTCCCTCTCTGTCACAGTATCATTTTGCTTCATCACATAAGGCTATAATTTCAAGGCTCACACTCAATTATTTGTTTTTCTTTTTTTGTTTGCTTGGGCTTTTTGTTTGTTTTTTGAGGCAGGGTCTCCCTTTGTAGTTCAGGCTGGCCCTGAACTCACTATGTACCCCAGGCTTGCTTCAAACCCACAGCGATCCTCCTGCCTCAGCCTCCCAAGTGCTGGGATCACAGGCATGCGCCACCATGCCCAGCTTATTTCTCTTTTATATGGCTCACTTCTTATCTGATCCATGTGACAAGAAGCCATTGTCTGTCATTTTCTACAGAAGGTAATTGCTTAGTCTTTAACTCTGTTTTCAAATTCACTCTTTCAGTAGGTCCTACTTTTTCAATTTGTAGTATTTGAATAGGTTTTGCACCGCTTGAATTTCAGAAAGATCTGCAACTCCAATTCGTGAGCCACCTTGCTGTAAGATGTTTTCTAACTCTTCAATTCTTTCTTCATAGTAACTTAGGTTCTCTCTATGCCTGTCTTAGTCACTTTCCTCATCACTGGGACAAAATACCCCGTACCTGCAACTTAAAGCAGGAGGGGTTTATATGGCTCATGGTCACAGTCCATGGTCAACAGAAGAAAGCTGCTTATAAATAGGGATAAGTGGGGCATATTTATAATCTCAGGAGGATCGCCGTGAGTTCAATGCCAGCCTGGACTACATAGCAAGACCCTGTTTCAAACAAACAAGCAAGCAAGCAAACAAACCCCTCCACAATACCTGTTAATGTTATGTTGCCCAAGAAGCAGAGAGAGAAGAGGAGGAGCAGAGGAGGCATTGTCAGCTCCCAGTGACCCACCTCCAGACAGTCCCTGCTTCCTAACAGCAGGCCAGTGTAAATTAGACTTCCAGGTGAGTAGAGCGCCACCATGATCCCATCACCTTCTAACTCATGAGGCTCTGAGAGGACCCCAGATCTAAATCACAGCAGCAGCTATGGCTGAGTTCTATCAATTTCCGTTTCTGTAATTCTGACATTTCAAAGTTGATGGCCAGCAATCTCTTGACTTCTGTTCAAATTCCTTCATGGTCTTTTGCAGTTGGTAAATTTCATTTTTACCTACTAGTACTAGTTGTTCCTTCCACAATGGAAGTCTGAGCAATGTATCTCCAGTGGTCAGCTTCAGACTCAAGTATGTTTTGTTTTGTTTTGTTTTGAGACAGGGTATTGCTATGTGGTTCAGGGTGGCCTTGAACTATGTAATCTGGGCTGGCCTAAACTTGTGGCAATCCTCCTGCCTAAAATCCATGCCACTGGCTTGGAAAGTCGATGTAGGATTGGTACCACCACCCAATGAAGGTGATGTAGTGGTCAAAAGTGTACCACTAGCTTCTGAATGTAGTGACCTAGTGCCAGACTGCAGCTTATGGAAATGATCCTAAAGCCTTAGCTGACTTGCTTTAAGTTTTATTTGTACCACTTTCTCTTTTGATTTATTCATTTATTTTAAAAGTAGGAAAATTTTATTGAGAGAAAGATAGCTTCTAAGAGAGGCAGAAAGGGGTCCGGAAAATGGGTTGCCCCTCTCTTGTGATTTATGTCCATGACATGCAGTTTCTAGTCCGATCTGATGCTTTGAGTTTTCATACTTACCCTGTCGATCACTACAAAGATTTTCAGGTCTCTGATCTGGAGATTGCCAGATTAGCTTTCAGATCCTTTGTCCCAAAGTTAGATACCTCTTCCCCATTTCCTGTGCCCTTCATTGGCACATCTTTGGTCAAACTAGAGGTGACATATGAGCCAGCTGAAGCCCATTTGCCGCAGGAAATGGCCTAAGAGGCTTCCAGGAACTGGGGCTGGGTACATCCCCTCCACTTCTGCCTTTGGGTTGGGATTGGCCCTACTTCCTCCGTGGCAGTGAATTTCCCAGTGGTGTCATACAGCTCCTGCCGAAGCCATGCCGGCTACAAGACATCGCTCCCAAACCACACCCTCCAGGTACCTAGTCCTGAGGGCGAGCAGGCGCAGTAAGACAAACGCACGTGGCCTTCCACTTTTTTTAATCTCACTTTTTTGAACTACACTACGATTTGTTCTGAAGCTTGTGTTGCTCACGCCATAACTGTTTTCAAATGACAGTAAAATTTACACAGTGAAACGCATCCATGCGATGACTACAAACGGGTGCATTTGTCCGTACCTGCACAGAAGCACCTGATGTGGCGTCAGGGCCCACGGACGAGTCTTGTCCGTTCTCGAACATCCAACACCAGGCGTTGTCACACTTTTGTGTCTGGATCCATTCCACATGTGATAGGATCTCGTCCCGGCAGTGGCTTTAAGATGTCCCCCGGAGACCTGTTACGGATCGATGTGTATCACGGTGTATGGCTAGTGGCTGCGGAGTTGGTTGGCACAGGCGGATTTGCCTGTAGTGATATCATCTAGAGGGTCGTCGGGCGGTGACCTGGGCCTGGGGCTGAGACCTCGTGGTGTCAGTGTCTTGGGCCTGAAGCCCTTAGAGCAGCCTGACCTAGCTCTGCCAGCCTAGGCTCGGCTCCACCGGGTAGGGCTCGACTCCGTCCCCTCTGGTCCGCAGGCTCTGCTCCGCCCGTCTCAGCCACTGTGGGTTCGGCCTAGCTACGTCCCTCTGGGCTCAGCTCCTCTCGGCTCGGCTGGGTTCGGCTCCTCTTGGCTCGGCTGAGCTCGGCCCTCTCGGCTCTGGCTCGGGCGGGCTCGGCCTTTCTCGGTTCGTCTGGGTTCGGCTCCTGTCGGCCTGAGTGGACTCGGCCCCCTGGGCTCGGCTGGGTTCGGCTCCTCTCGGCTCGGCTGGGCTCGGTCGCCCGGGGGTGGGCGGGCAGCGCCGCTGGAAGTGACGCGGCGAGGGCGGGCCGTCCAGGGAAGCCGCCACCACCGCCGCCTCCGCCTGGGCCGGGAAGCGATGTAGGAGCCGCCTGGCCGTCCGCCCCCCGCCCTGCCCGGCCAGAGCCCAGCGGGCCGCAGCCACCGCCGCCATGAAGAAGCAGTTCAACCGCATGAAGCAGCTGGCCAACCAGACCGTGGGCAGGCAAGTGCGCGGCGGCCGGGGTCGCGCGCGCCGGGGGCGAGAGGAGGCTGGAGCCCGCCGCGCCCCGCCCGAGGCCAGCGGCCCGGGGACCGGGAGCCGGGGGCCGGGGGCCGGGGGCCCGGAGCCCGGAGCCGGGGGGCGGGAGCCGGGGGCCGGGCCGGGCCAGCTCAGCTCTCCGGGGACCCGCAGGCGAGCCCCCCTGCTGCCGCGTGCTGGGTTGTTCCTGCCAGCGGGAGCTGCGCGGGGGTTCACAGCGCCCTTTGAGGGAACTTAGAAGTGGACTGTTAGCAACTTGACTGCTGCTGCCAGTTCTTGGCATTTAGAAACTTGGACTGAGGCGAGGATGTCGGAGGCGCCTTGCGCCAGTTAAAAACGAGCGGGGTCTTTCTCCCCGTGCAGGGGAAGACGAGTACTTCTCCGTGTTGCCTTGGTGCTGCTTTAATGCTCGACGAGAACTGATTTTTAAATGGAAGCATAGAGGAGAGATTGTCAGTGATCCTGCTCTTGAACAGGAGTGGTTTGTGGTTTTGAGGGCCCCTGTAGGTAATTGTCATGTGCCTTGTTATCTGGAACAAATATTTCAAGGTCTTACAGGGCAGATAGCTGTGCTGGACCAATTTACTGTTTATTCTGCGAAGAGATGTGACTTTTTCACAGCTCTTGCTTTTTATTTTTTTCTCTTTCAACAGTTAAGGGGAGTTTGATTGGCCAAAGCATATGAGACACATCTTTTTTTGTGTGTATGAAAATACTTTTACTTCCTCTTGAGTTTTCTAAATTTGCCTTTTAGGGTTTCGCTTCTCTCTGCTTCTTGCTTAGCTTTGTGGTATAATTTTAAAAATCCCCCACCATATTATCTTGGTGTGCATTTCTCCTATTTCTAGAATTAATCCCAGCATCTAAAGCTCAGATATGCATTCTTTTCGGTTATTTGTGGGAAAATTACATAAAGTTTAGAGGAAGGTAGACAGGAATAGTAATGGAGGGGCTAATGTTTTAAGCAAGAAGCATTGCAAGCAAACGATCATTTCTCTTGATTTTTGTACCTCTCATAGAGTTCTCAGCAAGATGCATTGTGAAATAAGTGTTTAGCGAGTGCCAAGATACATTTATTAGATTGTCATTTTGATTTGTTTTTGCCTTGTGTCAGGCCAGGAATGTTTGGTTTTTTTATACAAAGGTTTCAGGGTTTTCTGTCTTCAAAGCCATTCAGGGTCTTTTTGGTTCCTGCTTTCCCCAGCCTCCTTCCCACTGTTACATTCCAGCCATACTTCCCTGCTTTCAATTTCCATGGGAGACCATGCTTCCTTACCCTGAAACTCTGGGACATATCTTTCATCACACCTTTCCTCTAGACACCCTGTAGTCATTCTTCCAGTCTTCCTGTGGAGCTCTCGGCCTGTGGAAGGTCCCTGTTGTCCCAGCATAGAATGGATGTTCCTTCTGGACGTTGCATAGTTCCGCGTCCCACCTGCTCTTCTGTGATCAAATTGTCTCTTTCCTTGCCTGTGTTCTCCATTAGACTAAACACCCTGGGAGTCCTTGATTCTCAAGGTCTGCTGTGGTTCCTCTCACATGGCAGATGATCAACCAACGTAGTTCATTCCTGGGTTGTAGTTCTTACTAGATTGTCTGGTGGCATGGGCCCAAGCATGGGAAAATATGAACAGGACAGAGTAGAGTGGTGACTCACACTGGGACTGTAATTCTGGGCCTGACCTTTGACTCTGTTTGAAAATCTTTATTGCTAGATGCCAGTGGAAGCTGCTGCAACTATCACAGAGCTATTAAGGGTGTGGCAGTTATGCACCCAAAGTCAGAACATCTGTTTTTACTGGGGAACCTGTGGGTTTCTTGTTGATTTCCTAGATATTTCTGTATTGTTTCCTACTTAAATAATCATAAAGGAGGAGAAAGGAAGAACAGAGGCAGCCTAGAATTGTTACGCTGCGGAAGCAGAAGGTTGGTGGGCACCGGAAGCAGAATTCTGGGTGTGTTTGGCTCAGGATGAAGGCTTGAATCCCGGTGATCTGGATGGAGAAAGTTACATACACAAATGGCATGTGCACTGTGAGTTGGTTTGCCAGGTTATAAAGTTCTAGGTGCCTTGCAATGAGGTGTTCCTGCAGGGTGGAGACATGGTCATTAACTCCACTGTGGGGTTCCATAGGACCGACGATGCCTGGAAGAGCACATTCTCATGATGCAATTTGTTTGCAGTGGGTGGATGAGTCTCTGAGAAAATGAGCAAGGCCTATGAGGTGGTCTCATGATGTGACTGCCCTAAGGAAAAGAAGTGAGACAGTTCATCTGTCCACTGTCTGGCAGAGTCACATTTCAGCAGGTGCAGTCCTCTTGGGGTCCGTACTGTGCACCACTGTGCAGGGTATTTCAGAATAAAAGGTGAACTGGACATGGTTTCTGCCCTGAAGCTGCTCAGCAGATATGTAGAGGAGATAGGCAAGCTGAAAAGTAACCGTGCATGAGCTACATATGCTTATAGAGTGATGGCCGGGCACAGAGGAAAACCTTGGGTGGCTGTTCCTGGGTGGAGAGAGGTAAGGAGCATGAGTTTCTCCCAGGAGAAGATGTGAGCAGAGCCTTTGGTTTTTCTTTCATTTTCATTTTTCATGCACTTCTTTCAGATTTCCCTTTAATGATTAGGTCTCTTTTGGTGGTAAGAAAACCCAAATCAAGGTGTATGAGCACAGAGAAGAATTCATTAACTCATTATGTGAGTGGAAGGATTCAGGAGAGGTACGGCTTTATATTTGGCTTCAAGCAGGCTGTGTGTCGTGTGGGTCTGTGTTCGTGTCGTTCCCCTCACCCGCCTTTCATTGTCCTCTGTACTAGTCCCGGAGGAAAAGAATACTATGTGACTGTGGCCAAAGTCCCAGGATTGGCTCTGAATCTTCGTGGGTCGCATGCCTTTCCCAGGAAGTGGAGTGGAGTCAGCTCCTGTGCACTAAGTGGAGGAGTGCGGCTCCCCGGGTTAAACTAAGTGCTGTTGCCAGCAGGAAGGAGAACAGGTGCTGATCAGGCAACCAAGAAACAGCCTATTGTGCGTTTCAAAGTTGTGTTGCAAAGAAAGAAAGATGTTCTGATTCTTGGAAACCCTTAGCTGCAAATAATCCAGTGAATGAAGATTGCTTTTGGGGAGGTGTTCCTCTGAGTAGAAGAAGGTGTCTGCTGGGATGAGGAGCTTAAAGTTAGGAAATACTAGTGTCAAGGAGAAGGGGAATTTGAGGGACATAACGAGAGGGGAACAGTCCCGGGTGTGGGAGGGAATGTCTCATTGGCTGTTTATTTCTGCAGTGATCAAACTTTCTTCTGGGGGTCTTAGTGCTTTCCCAGGGTTGCCTTCAGAGAAGTCATGGTGATACAGCCAGATGCCCAGAGGGCCAGGCTAGTAAAAGAAGCAACTACTTGGGCCAAGTGAGGGCTGCAGAGGTCCTGGAAGGCCCCTCGATGTGGCCTGACCTCTGGAGTTTTCAAGAAAAGTCTGATATGTGGATTTCAATAAATACTAGCTGATTTAAACAGCCACCATGATGCTCAAATACTTTGAGGCCTGATGTGATTATTGACTGTCAACCACTTACATTAGAAGGACCTGGAAGTTAACAGTTCCTGTTATTACTATTTTTGGTCCTTCTTCCTAATTGTGATATTCCTACTTTCTCAGTTCTTTGGATTTATCGAAGAGCTCACCCTTTTACTGAAACTAAGAGGTAAGAGGTCTGGCAATAATCATCAACATTTCTGTAATGGTGTAGTTTACAAGTGCTGTGGCAAACCACCTGGCCTGGTTCTTATCTACAGGCCATTATCATTTATACTTTATAAGGAAGGAAGAAGGACTTGCCAGGTCTGTACATCTACTAAGTGGTTGAAACAGGACTTGCACACAAGGCCTTCTGACTCTGGTTTCCATGGGCTTTTGACTACACAAACTGGGCTGCCTTTTCACCAGGCAAAGCTTAATGAAGGTGAATGTTTATTAAATGTCTTTCATCCTTATTAAGCTGCGGGGCTAGGTGCTCTGCATACAGTGTCTTACTGCCTTTTCACAGCAGCTCTCAGAAGTGATGCTGTTTATACCTGACTTAATGATGAAGAAGCCAGAGATCAAAGAGGATATGGAGCTAGTAAATGGCAGAGGTGTGGATCCAGACCCAAGATTTTGACTCTGAAGCAGCTGTAAATCGTGTTTCATCTGGAGACTTATCATGTGACAAGCCCCTTGTTTGAATTTTAGTAACTTTCATCAAATCCTGGAGGCTGTGAATTGGATGTTAGAGTATTCTGTTCCAATCACCATCAGCCAGAGTTGGTTTTTTCCCCAGGAGACCTTGGGCAGTGTCTAAGGCAATGAAGGCGAACCTTTTAGAGCTTTCGATGATATAAACAGCCTGCTGTGGCATGTGTGTCATAGTTCCACCACCTCTGGTCTAAGATAGATAGATAGATAGATAGATAGATAGATAGATAGATAGATAGACAGACAGACAGACAGACAGACAGACAGACAGATAGATAGATAGATAGATAGATAGATAGATAGATAGATAGATAGATAGATAGACAGACAGACAGACAGACAGACAGACAGACAAACAGATGGATGGATGGATGGATGGATAATTTTACTCCTTTTCATTCCTTGGCCTTGCCTGATCCCTGAGATCTAATGACCTTCTCAAGAATGGAGGACTCACCAGCTCACCAGATAGTCCTGTTCATTACCAGAAGCTCAGGTTTTCACGTTGAGTCCAAATATGTGTCTGTCGATCTCAGAGACTCTTCATGGAAGAGAGACTACTCTGTGTCTGACCATCGCAGAACATATCCTTATTGGATATGTTGGCAGTGTTAAGGTTCTGTATCCCTTCCCTACTCCACTGTTTCTAGTCTTCACTCTGATTTTCACTCTACCTTTTTCCTAGGGGCACTCTGAATAGGGTTTCTTAGAAAGGCCAGGTAGGCTGGCTGTCCTTTGC